GTCTGAAGCCAGTGTGACTCACAGTCAGCACAATGTGAACACCAGCATGTGGCTGCAAGGGCGAGCCTCGGTTCAGGCAGTGGTACAGATGTTTCACGTGAAGCAGAGCCTAAGGAGCAGCCACAGCCTGCTGGGTCTGGCACTTTGAATGAGGAGTGTGGGACCATATGTGCTTGAGAAGTGCAGAAGAGGGAGATGCTTTTCGTTCCTTCTGCCCCACACCAGCAGCAGCTACTCACATAGTAAGTTTGGATCTAGCAGTGTTTAGTACATTGGCAACTGGGTGTTGCATGAGTACAGCTACTCGGCATCTCTGCGCCATGCTGTGCTCTCTATGAGGGCTTCTTAGCTCAAATCTGGTGCTTTGCTGAAGCTAGTAGGACTTTCCAGAGCTAAAGTGCCAGAAAGAACAGTCACTGCACAGGTCCTCTGGGTACAACTCTTGGCAACTGCGCCTTAGCTAAGTCCTGTTGGATCCAAGTTAATTCCCTTCAGTGCCTTGCAAGTACCTCTGCTTCATAGTGGCAGTATCATCACCCTCTCCTGTCCTTTTGGTAGCAGCAAAGTTACCCAAGTTTTTCCACTGTCCAGAAATACCTAATTTTTTCCCTCCTCTATACCTGAACACTCTGAATAATCAAGTGTAGATTCTAAATCAATGCAAATAATTAAAATGTCATGCAATATAATCTAAGAAATCCACTTCTTTATGTTTAAGATCTTATTCTGATCATGCACAGTCATTGGGGTTTTTTTTCCCATTCACAGTATCACTTTGCTTCCAGTTCTTCTATGAGGTAAAATGACAGTTGTATTTTTCCTCAGCTCGTAACTCTGTCATTCTTTTTTCCTTTATTAGGTGGATTCTAAAAATGCTTAGAGTTCATCCTAACTTATTACACCATTCTTCATATCACAAACAGCATGGCATTATTTCTCCCATCAGCAAAGTTAATTTCTTCCTGATATAACCAAAAGCAATTCCCTGCAGATTTAGTGAGACTATGGTATCCATTAGTGCCAAGTCAGGGTAAATGCAGCTTTTGATAAAAAAGATAGATGAAGACTGCAAAAAGAAAACAATGTGAAGCATACTGCAAGCAGAGATAGTAACAATTAGTAAGCAATATGGACTGTCATGAATAAAGAGTGAGTTAGTATTTGGTTCAATCCTGTTATCATCTATGATAAACAGTCCAACTCTAGAATAAGTAGATCAGTTCAGCTTTTAGATAGAGTATACTGGTGAAGAGGTTTAATAGAATCTGAAAGACTGGAAATGGCTGGCAGCCACAGCTTCCTTTTCAAAATTCAGAGCAAATGAAATGTTCCTTGAAGAAAGTGAAAGAAACATTCCCTGAATTATGTGAAGCTCCATATTATGAAAAGTTTTATTTTGTCTATCACATCTTCCTGGTACAAACTTTGAGAAATGGGTTACCGCCAAAGGAAGGAGGTGAAAATGAAGCCTTTTTGATAACTAGTGGAAGGCTTTTGTACACTTGGTGAAAGAAATACATATAGATATAAATAAAACTACTGGGGAGAGGGAAGCAGAAGCTTAAATGTTTTGGTTGCGGTAGGCAGAGAAAGATGGAAATTACTTCAGTAAGATACTCAGGAAAGTCACAAGTTATTGTAGATTGTGGATTAAAAGAAGGAAGAGGGAACGTAGTATAGCATGGTTAAGGTCAGCTGTTCCTGCAAGAATGCTTCCAAAAATTCAGCTAAAAATGAATGCATTCATCTTACTTCTTTCTCTTTTGACAAGAGATGAGGAAATTGAAGATGAAGAACTGAGGTTGGCAACAACTGCTAACTGTTTTGTGCAAGAAGTTGGGAGAGCTTCTGAACTTAGAAAAAGGATAGAAGATGGAAAGAAAATAATTAACAAATAAGAAGCATTTGTCTTAAGCTTCTATTTGCATTACTCCTACCTCTCTAATTACTAAAAGCAGGCAGGTAGGTAATTTTCCTGTCCAGTTATTCACAGGTGGGCCTACGCACATTATGCAGAGACCCAAATGTGTTATGTACAGCATCAGCAACAGAGAAAAACAAGGCAACTAGTACCAAAGCACTCTCTTTCACTCCACAGATGTTCCTGAACAATATCTGTGGTTTGAAATTGTATCAGTCCCCACCTAGATATTCACGTTCCAGTGAATAAAAAGTCAGAGCAAAGTCAGCCTAGAAAGCCAAAGCTTTTTTTGCTTTGCAACCAAAACTTTAAAAATAATGAATTTCATATGATTTTCAGCAAAGTGGGCCCAAGTTAATTCAAAACATTTGTGAACCCTAACAACCCTTTTAACAAACACAGTTAAATTTGTTAAGAAACCTAAAAGCAGGCAAGTTTCACATGATTTATTAGCAAAATTTTGGCCCAATCTCAAATACTACATCATGGTTCACTTAGCAGCAGTGACAGTAAGAGGCATAAAACATCAGGGTTTCACTGTAGTGTGGGGCTCTCCTGTACTCCTCAGAGTTTCCCCGTTTTTACAAACAAACTCAAATTTAGTAGCAAATTTTTAAGTTATGCTCTTTCCTTGATCTTCAACCACATCTTTTTATCTCCTCAGTTTCAGCACAATATAAGGTATTTACTCCTGGAAATGTCACAAGTCTTATCTCTTGAGATTTCTAGACCAGCCTAAAAGCTCTAGCATTTTAGACCATTTAGAGAAGCATCCTTATCAAAACTGAATAGATAGCTGACAGTTCTTTCAGGTTAGTCTTCATTAATTTGTTTTCCCAGATTTTTTCTTGCTGTTGAATCTGGGAGTATTTCCCAGTCACATTTTAGGTACTATTCCAAGGGTGAAGCTTAAAAGTTACCACTAGATCCAGTTGTTCAAAATACACACTTGTATGTATTGTGCTACTAAAATGTACCTTTGCATATGCAAGATATATGTAGGTGATTCATACTGGCAGGAGTAATTTTAAAAAATAACTTGTTACTGTGATTTCTGTACCAGACCTTGAGAATTTCTCATGGTGTTGTTTAGAGACTTCTGAGGATTCTGTAAGGTAGTGAGCATACTGTAGGATAAAAAATGAGGCATAAGAGATAACTGGGCCCATGTGAAAGACAGATGTTCATGCACAAAAGATAGACTTTCCATCAATATTAATATTTTCCTTAGAGTTAATTGTGAGGTGTTGTTCAGTTTTGTTGTTGATAATAGTGAGGTCTTTGACTTTTGAGTGAATGTTTTTTTAATTGAAGAACATAGTGCCTTTCCAGTGTTCAAATGGTTCTTTCAAGAAACATCTCAATTCTGTTTGAAGGATTGCTATTCTCCAGTGATTAGATGTGGCATTCATGTCTCTATAAGTTGTAAAAAATTGATTACAGTGCAATACAGTGCTGGACTGCTTTATGTCTGAAATGCATAAATATTTCTGTCATGCTGGTGTAATAAAATTGTCTTTCAAGTCTTTTGACTACCCGTCAGCCTCACTGAAAACATTTCAAACCATAGGCCATTTTCAGACAATTTGACAGACAGGTAGCAGCTCTAAGGGTAAGCTTCATGAAGAACTGGTAGCTGGATGTAGGTCAAAGACACAAAATAGTGCCTGAAGGATGACATCAAAGTGACCCAGTTCCCTCTGACCAGGCAAGAAGTACGTTGGTGCTGTCCCATTAATATTTAGGATACATAAGGAATAGTAGATAGAAGTTTGAAGATAAAGTTGGAAATTAAAGTACTGTGAGGCTGAGGGAGAAACATTGCCCTTTTACAGTATAAGTATTCTTATACACATATTGTTGTCCTACAGACATTGCTTCTTTCTTCAGTTATCTTTGGCTAGCTCTCCTTCATCAGCTAGGGATGACTGCAGGCAAGGAGAGTCCCCAGACTGATGACACCACGGGGTGTCATACAGAAAACAAGAGATGAAAGAAAATAGATGATTGCTTAGATTATTCTAAGCCCTAGTGTATGTGAGCTCCAATTACCCAGATAATCACGTTAGGAAGTAGTCTTTATATCATAATTACAGGCTGAATGTTTCCCAGTCTTTATCTGTTACATGTATTTGTGTCTGGACTCATTATCAGTCAGATCTTACATTCTCTCAGAGCCTTCAGCACCACCACAATGGCAGAGCATCCCATACCATGCACAGAGAACTGCAGCAAACTGAAACCAAGCCATTTCCTCAAGTTTTTGCACAAAGGTTTGCTCTCCAAGTCCCAAACTAAGCACTTGAATCACAAAATTATGCACTTCATGTAAGTGCTCCAGTTATGTCCCTGAAGTTAAGTAGAATGATTCTGAGCCACTGTGAAAATGCTTCATTTTAACACGTATAAAAAATCAGTGCATATGAAAGAGGGAGCAGCCAACCCCATATTGACCACATCTGTGGTAGCTAGACCCTACCTTTGGTTCACATCACTCCATATTCCCTTATCATTGGGTCTCACTGCAGAGCTTATTACACTGTGAGGACAAGTGAGGTTCTGGAGAGAGCACTGGAGGGTTTTCTGGCTATCAGTCAATGAGGAGGTTAGAACTTCAAATATTTGCTAATTAGATCTTGCATACTGGCTGGAGTTTGCTTGAGTTTAATTATAAACTGTTAGCACTGTTAGTTCTCCACTCCTAAAAATTGGCCAAACTTCAGGTAAAAAGGGGAAACAACCTGAGCAAAAGGGCAATTTATACTTTATAGGTATTAAAACTGAATAAATGTTAATAAGCCACTGCCAAAGAAGTATGCAAACATAGTGATTGCCCTTGAAATCCAATCTGTTACACTTAAAACAGAGGAAACAAGTGTATTGGGTTTGCGTGGCAAGGTTTTGGTAGCGGGGGGGCTATAGGGGTGGATTCTGTGAGAAGCTGCTAGAAGCTTCCCTTATGTCCAATAGAGCCAATGCCAGCTGGCTCCAAGATGGACCTGCCACTGGCCAAGGCTAAGCCAATCGGTGATGGTGGTAGCACCTCTGTGGGAACACAGCTCGGCGCGGGCAGCGGCAGCGGCATGTCCAGCAGAGGCAAGGGCGGGAAGGGGCTCAGCAAGGGGGGCGCCAAGCACCACCGCAAGGTGCTGCACGACAACATCCAGGGCATCACCAAGCCAGCCATCCACTGCCTGGCTCGGCGCGGCGACGTGAAGCGCATCTCGGGGCTCATCTACGAGGAGACGCGCGGCATGCTGAAGGTCTTCCTGGAGAACATGATCCGCGACGCCGTCACCTACACCGAGCACACCAAGAGGAAGACAGTCACGGCCATGGACATGGTCTACGCCCTCAAGCGCCAGGGACGCACCCTCTACGGCTTCGGCGGCTAAAGCTTTCCGCCCCCGGACCATCTCGAGAACCCAAAGGCTCTTCTAAGAGCCAAAAAAAATTTGGGGAAGAGTGGCTGGAAAGCTGCCTGGCGGAAAAGGACCTGGGGGTGCTGGTCGA